TGCTTAGGAGAGGAACCAAAAATGATGAAAGGGAGGAATCAAGGGGGTCTGGGGATAAAAAAGCCTGGGGAAATGAAGGGATAAAGGGAAAAAAAGGTCTGGTCGCATTTATGCAGGAGGTTGGTCCGTATGCTTGTCTGGCCACGCTTAGTGCCTGGTCACCATTGCCTTCTGGTTATGTCTTCTCCTTAAACTCCATTTCTAACATTTTTCCTGGGTGAGGGACTTTCTAGTCGGTGTGCATGTGTATGGGGGCCTGGTGCCAGCAGCTGGCCCAGGACTGAGGAGACCTAAGTGAGAGAAACCAAGTGCCAGCCACCAGCATGGACCAGGGTCAGAACCTGTGTGTCACTGGTGCAGCACCCGCAGAGAGCTCCGGTGAGCATGTGAGTGCCAGCAAGGATCAAGCCAGAGAAGCTGGTGAGTAGGTGTTGTGTCCCGGGACGCCCTTTGACATTTCACAAGTAATCAGATGGGAGGATCTGTCCAGTAGATGGAGCAAGACCTGCAGAACTGTACCAGGATCAGTATTTCGAAAAAAGTTGTATTTTCAAGGATGCGAGCTGGAAAGCTTCCCCTCCAGCTCTCTGTATCATTACGCAAGGTGTGTTAGAAGTGTCCTTCCAATGTATTTGCAAAGGCCCTTCTAACAGCTTGTGTCATGGTGCAACCTCAGAGCAAAGCACTTTCTTTTATAATAGCAGAGTACCCTCTAGTGGGGAGAGATCGTGCAAGAAAGTGAAAATGTCTCCAGTGAGTCTTCCATTAAAATAGTAACTCAGAAGTGTTACTTTTTTCTCTTTGGACATTCAAATAGACTCTCAGTATCCAGGTATCAAGAAATTACAACGACTGTATCCAAAGACAATGAGGAACATAACAAAATGACTTTATGATGGCTTTCCTGTGGCAGACACTGACTGTGGTCACTGGAAGAGAAGGTATTGAAATGGACTGACAGAAAGAACTGGGCATTTGGTTTCAGTTCTGCCTTGCTCTCCTGGAGAAAGAGCTCTTGCAAAGGACCAAGGAAGGAAACATGGAAATGTTCCCAAGTCCTTACTCAAAGCTGCCAGGCTGGCCTGAGATGGCTAAAAGAAGGTGTGCTAGAGGAGAAGAGGGGACAGCAGGCATTTGGTAGTACCTGGGAAGGCATCTAGGCTGCCCAGATCCCTCTGACAAGTTCTGCCTAGGGTTGCCTCGTGAGAGCTGGATTTTCTGCAGCTGGGATTCTTGGTCAACAGACCTTTAGAAAACAATCTCAGGCTTCTTGGCCAAGGGACCTTTAGAAGTCAATCTCGAGTGATGTTTTGACCCAGAGTTGCCCAGTATTCAAAGGGCAACTGCTTCCTGCATTCTGAAAATCGTGCTGATTCAGCTTGCTTTGAAGGTTGTCATGCCACATGCTTGCAGGCTACAATGGGGGGCTTCAATTTGGCATTCCTCGAATGACAGCGTTCTGAGATTAAATGCTTATTAATTTTTTTTTTTTTTGGGGCAGAGAAATTATCTCTGTTTTTTTCCATGGTAGTCATGAACATGTACGTGATCTTCAATTGAGGCTATGATTGGAAGCCATCAATATATTGCGTATAAACGCAACAACAAAAGAAGAGGTGAGTGAGTTTAACTACTGCTTTTCAAAGATAAATTTTTCCCAGGAAATGGAAATTTTAAAGAGAAATACGCAGGCTTGCGCTGTGAGATAGTGACCAGTGGTATTCCAGCTGAGCAGATCAGAGCCCCCCTGAAGGAGGGGGAGAGGAATGGCCTCACCTCTGTACTTCCGGCAGCTAGTACATAATTTATACTCTGTGCAAAAGTATGGCTTTTCTAAGAGTAAAAAGTTAGCTTTGGTGATGGAGAAGGAAAAAGGAAAATACAATGAAATGCACACCAAGTACTCAGAAAACAAATAGGCAGAAGCAGTCTCAGTTTTTCCAAAACATCTCACTTGAGGGCTTTTTTCAAAACACTTCAGTACCGGACTTCTAAAGGGCAGTTTACCTATTTTTCACTACTCTTCATGCAGGAGTTTAGAAGTGCTCTTTGATTGAATTAATTCTTTTTTTCAGTCCTAGTAATTGTGTTGTTTCCTTTCAGGAGGAAAAACGTTACCAGTTTTAGAAGCAAAACAAAACAAAAAGCTTGAGACCAAAAAAGCTGTCCCAAAGCCACATGCCGAAGCTTGTTTTCTTTTTAGTGTGCCTGTCCCAAGAGCTGTAGGACAACAGAAATTAATATAAAACATTTTAATGACTGTCTTGCCTTTCTTTTGTGAAATATCCTTCTTTCCTGAGTATCAGCCTGATTTTCTTTCAGTTACTCATCTCTAGGAAAGCAGGATTTGCACTGTCTAGGGGTGCAAGTATATTTTTTAGCGTCCTGGTTTGAGCTAAAACAGAACTAATTCTGTTTTAGTGCTTTTACTTTTCAGCTAAGTCTCTTCTAAGTAACTGCACTTTCTGAAATCAACAGCGTGTTTTTCCAGACAGTGACTGCTTCTAGTAGTGATAATGCTTGATGTTTATGGCTAATACCAAGGAATGGTAAACAGAAAGGCTCTTGCTTATACTTGCTCCTATAGCAACCAAGGTCACTGCTGAACCTTGTACTCCGTGTTGGGGTGCCATAAGTGAAAAGGGTCGCAAGCACATAAAAAATTCACACTTGCAGGGAGGAGCGAACCAGACAGGTGACCCAAAACTGACCAACTCAGTATACCATCCCATATATGTCATATACAGTATAAAGCTGAGGGATCAGGAGCGTCAAGCTCTCTCCTTTGTTGGCCTCCCCCATCTGAGAAGCACTCTGTCCATTCTTCTGTCTGCAATCCTGATCCATGTGTTCCTGAAACCAGTGCCTGAGTCCAGCTCCTGCATCGCATTCCTGTCTGCTACCAAGTCCACCCTGGGACTGCCCCAGTGCCAGCCCTGCAGCATCACTGGGATGTATTGTCATCGGCATGGGTGGGTGGGGGGAGTTTGGTTCGGTACTGGTTTTGTATTAATTTTGTATATATTTCATTATTTTCTTATTTTTTATTATCTTTTCTTTTGTTGTTACTGTTTCATTAGAGACGGTTTAGTTTTCTTTTCCAACCTGTCAGTCTCTCCCTTGTTCTCTCTCCCTTCCCCTTCTGGGAGCCAAGAGGGTTTAATAGAGAGTGAATAGAAAGTGTGTGTCATTGCTTAGTGACTGGCCCAGCCTCAGCCGTTGTCCAGTCCCACTCAGCGGTCTAGGGGAAGGCAATCTTCTAAATATTCTATGCAGCAGTTTGAAATAATGACAATTATTCCACAGGCTAGTTTAAATCACATATTTACTTGCAATGAGGCAGAATTCTTCTCTACATTTTCCCAGACCATCGAAGGAGCAGTGAAAGTCTGATAAATAGAGAACTTTTCCACCTCGGCAGATCTGAGTTGCAGGATGATCTAATGTAAAACACCACTCAAGTGCCCCCAAAGTGCCCTTAATTTTCATGAAATAAGGGAAGGAAGATGTCCTGGGGACTTCCTTGCTTTTGTCACTTTGATGGCACAGGGCACTTCTGGATAAATTTATTTTAAGCTGTGTAGTCTGCAGTTCTCTGGAGTTCCCTCTGAAATCCCCTCAACTATAGTGAAGGTAGGTGAGCACAGGAAACTTGCTAATGCAGTTTTCCCATAAGAAGAAAAATGAGTGTGAAGGGTGTAGGTATGTCAACCTCAAACAACAGGTTTACCTGCTGGAGACCTGACCTGCTTTAGAGGCAACCAATTCTCTACTCAGAACGAAAAGGGGAAGGCTGGCAGAGGGAAATTAAAGTGATCCAAGACTTACTCATTAGTCCTAGGAGATAGAAGAAAATGTTGAATAAAGGTAATGGC